CACATGATACAACATGGATGAGCCTCGGAAACATTATCCTAAGTGAAAGAAGCCAGACACCAAAGGCCATACACTATATGGTTTCCATTAACAGCAAATATCAAGAAGAGACAAAGCCACAGAGACAGATAGTAAAGCAGTGATTGTCTGAAGCTGAAGGAAGAAGGAAATGGGGAGAAACTGCTTAATGTCTACAGGTTTCCTTTTGAGGTAATGAAATGTTCTGGAACTAGAGAGTGGTGATGGTTGCACTACACTGTGAATGTACTAAATGCCACTGAATTGTACATTTTTAAATTCTTAAAATGATGAATTTTACCTCATTAAAAATAATATTAAATTAAAAAGAACATAGAGCCCTCTACTTTCCTCCTTCCTTCCTACACCTTCTCTGAGGAGGTGGTCCAGTATGTCTGGGGCTAAGCTTTTGGCCAATGTAACCAGAAGACTAGCTACTTACTGAGTAAATACCTGGAAGATGATGGCTGTTAAGTTTCTCACTAGTGATTTAAGTCACATAAAATGGAAAGGGAGAAGGCTAAAGTAAACTCTGTGGTGTTTGTATAGAATTAGAGGTGTCAGTATCATCTCATGGTTTTTAACATGTGTGTATGTATATATATACACACACAAATATGTGTGTGTACATGTATACATATATATAAATATCCATACATGTTGAAATCCAGGAGATGTATGCCATGTGTGTATACATACATATAGTTCCTAGTTCTGTCTGCTGTGAGACTCTGAAAGCAATGACTCCTTGGTAGCAATGAATACACGTAGCATACAAGCTTGACTTCTAAATACCATTTTATACTTAAGGAAGTCAGGGCTCTTAGGAGAAATGGCTAATGCCAGGACTGGGGTAGAGAAAATACAAAATGAGCCTGGAACATTTTCTGTACCAAATGTAATGAATAATTAAAGAATAATGGGGACATGTCAAAAGTACAAAGAAGAGCAGCTCCATGGGGCTCCTATAGCCCAAATCAAGATATAACTGAAAAGGTATAAGAGATCCACAAGGAATTCCCTGCTGGTCCAGTGGTTAGGACTCCGCACTTCCACTGCAGGGGGCATGGGTTTGAGCCCTGGTTGGGGAAATAAGATCCCGCATGCCGCAAGGGCACGGCCAAAAAAACCCACAAAGATATACAATAAAGCTTGTTACGACTGCCCCTCCCTTGGTCTCAAAACATTACCTTTCTGCAGAACTGAACAGAGGCCCATAGAACTCTTTGTGTTCCTGGCAGACAGGCCTCCACCCCACGGACACTCTTCAAATTCTATCTGCTATACCACTACAAACTGCCCTAAGAGATCAGTGCCAAGAAAGAGACCATAATTTGAACAGATTGTCCACCTACCTCAGAGGCCATCAGGACTATTCAACCATGTTGACATGCCTAACTGTCAACAAAAGAGGCCTAAAAACTCACAGGTTGTCCGTAATCCCACTTCCATGTGGCAGTGTACAGGCCCTAAAATCTGACACAATGTTACTAACTGTCCCTGCTCCACCAAACCCCTTCTCTGTTCTGGAACTCACAATCTATCATTTGGAAAACTGCCTATATCCTAAACTTCTCCAAATTCTCCTTGCCCCTTTTCTAAATGAAAAAGGCTGTCTCCTGAAGATGCTATTTCCCCTGCAGCTCATAATAAATGGTGTTTGTTTAACCTTCCAACCCCTCATACAACCAGGCCTAGAGAGAGGTCTCCTGGCTCTTCACTCCTTCTAGACCTCCTTCCATTTGCCTTCTTAAAATACCAGCTTCTGTCCAACACATGCCAACTGACCATTTCCCTGCTACTGTTCCTTGTGCTGACATCTAAAGACATTCACAGTGCACTCATTCACAGATTCTGGCACTATCTTTTGCTTTCTTTTTCTACCACTATTCCTGCCATCGTTTTTGACGATTTCAATACCCGGGCCAAAAAAGGCATCCAACACACTAGCCTCTCAGTTCCTTGAACTGCAATTTTCCAACAAAATATTTCCAACAGTCTTGTCCTCCCATCACATCTCAGACACCCATTCCCATGGTCATATTTTATATTTAAATGCAACCACCCAAATTTTAAGCATTCCCTATCTGACCATCATTTCTTACTTTGTAACTCACTCCCCCCAATACTTTGACTCACACTACAACTCAACTCCACCAGCAACTACAAGCCATTAACCACACTACTTTTTAAAAAATCATCACCTCCCAACCAAGTCCTTACATTTTCCTCCTTACAAAGCTTAAATTCTATAATCCATCAAGATAATCAATCATTCTCCTGCTCTTTCTTCCCTTCTGTTTATACTCACTTGCTAAAACCACAACCTAGTTAAATCAACTGTCTGTCTCATTTTTACCTCTACCCAAGCAGCTAAATGTGACTAAAGAAAAAAAACACAACCATGTTGATTGGTCTCCTTTTAAAATTCATGAATGTAAGTTTCAAATGGGCCTCCAATGCCGCCAGTCTAACCCTGTATTTATTTACATGGTCATCTTATTTTCCCACTCCCCTAAGTGATTATTTCACTCTTTCTCCTTTCTTCTTCAAACCTCCAACAACCTTCCTCCTATTTGAACTTTCTAACAAACTTGCGTCTTATTTCACTGTAAAGTAGAAATAATTCTAAGAGAACTTGCACAACCTCCCACCATCAAATCTACCAGAAGATTTGTATTTACATATATACTTGGCTTTCTCTCATGATATTATGGATCTATGTGTCTGATTAGAGTCAATCCTCCACTAGCATACTCGTCTGCATCTTTTCTTCACAATTTAAGGACTGTGCTCCTGCGGCTGATATCCCCTCCTGCAACGCTGATTTTCTACTTTCTGAGTAATTCATCACAACAACATGCAAACATGCTTTAATTTCTCATGTAAAATAAAATACCCTTTCTTGATGAAGAAAAAAATATGTATAGTATAGCACTTCTTTTTAAAAATACTTATTTTCAAATACTTTTAACACTCACAAGAAATTACACAAATAGTACAGAATTTCTCTGTACTCTTTACTCAGTTTTCCCCAATAATAACAGCTTAAATAACCATACTTAAAACCAGGAAACTGACATTGGTATGTGGTATACTACTACATATGTACTTATATTTATTTTTTCAAAAATGGTTAAACTGTAACATTCCTTTTGAAAAGAATAACTTTAAGAGGAGGGAGGAAGTACAGTGGAGGGGGTAGAGACAAAAGTTATACTTTTTTAGATACGTTATTTTGTAGACTTGACTTTGGAACTATGTAACTACTTCATATAACTATAAAACTAAATTGAAATTAAACAAGCAATCCCTAAAAATTAAAAATTCTACAAGTTAACCTACATGTGTATCTACTTGGTATAATGATACAGAGTGTACCAATTTCAAGTGATATCAAAACACAGTTATTATAAAGATGTTAAAACAAACAAACAAAAAACACAGTTATTTGCCTGTGTATCTCACCTGGGGTATACTCAAAGGGCAAAAAAACCCTGCAAAATACTTAAAAATGAAACAAAACAAAACTACAGTTGACCCTTGAACAGCTCAGGGGTTGGGGCGCTGATCCCCTGTGCTGTCGAAAATCTGAGTATAATCTTATAGTCGGTCCTCCATCCTTAGATTCAACCAACTGAGGACCGTACAGTATCACAGTATGTATTTATTGAAAAAAATCTGCGTATAAGTGAACCTACACAGGTCAAACCCATGTTGTTCAAGGGTCAACTATATTTTCAGTTATCATAATATTGGTTGAAAGGTTGGTATTGTTAGGCAATAAATGTATAAGTCTGGAACATTTTATCACACCAAGTACACCAGGTAGCAAGGAAGCTACTAAACAGTACTAAGATTGTGTCAAAAGGACTCAGGTGCCAAGTTGAAGAGCTCTCCCTGGACAAAAGTGGGATAATATTAATAAAGATAATAACTGCAAAAGACTGAAAAACATCAACTATGTTTAAGTCCATGAATATATAATAATATTCAAAAACAAAATCAAAAAATGAATTGTCACCACTGGAGCATGCTAATTCTTTTGAAAAATAACTACAGAGAGAATTCTTTCCCATATGAACTGTACTAATAAGGATTAAATAGCAGATATGAGAAAATTTCTTTACATATAAGTATCCAAGCTACAAAAATGAAAAAGAAATGTTAGAGTAGGAGTAGTACCATTTTGCCACCCCTAATAAATTAACTAGCCTAGGCACTGATCATCATGACTGCTAACATCACAAAGGACAGCCAGTCTCCTGGAAGAATGAATAAATAATACATCAAGGTTTTTAGAACAAACAGTAAATAATCCAAATTTCTTTCAACTCAGAGTTCTACAAACTGAACCATCCATTTCACTTACAGTTTCTAAATTAGGGGCCAGCAAACTTTTCCTGTAAAGGGGCAGACAGCAAATATTTTAGGCTTTGTTGGCCATAGGGGCTCGTTGTAACTCCCCACTCTGCCTCTGCCAGTTTTAGCTAGAAAGTAGCAATGGACAATAGATAAATGAGTAGGCACTGACTTTATGTGCTGGGAAGAACTTTCAGGGACTGTAGTTTGCTGAGTAGTTACCTCTGCCCTAAATTATAAGGTAGAGAAATCAATGATCCCTAATGATAAATTAATTCTCCCCAGAAGAAAAGTTCATCTGGTACTTATTCAATCCTCAAATCTAACTCAGCAGAACAGTCAACATCATTTTCAGGATGACCATTCCGTAATTTATTTTGCTAATTTGAAATGTGTGGTAAGCATTAATGTGTTCTGATGACTCTGAATCCAAACGTTTATAATTTTTAAAATTGTAATAAAGAAGATCTGTAAAAAAAATATGTTAGGTATCCAGTAATAACTCCTATTTATTACTGAGCTAAGTTGAAACATATAGGTATATATACATAGGTGTATACAGACAGACAGACAGACAGATAGATAGATATAGAAGTAATTTAGACGGTTAGACTTTTTACCTTATCAGAAAACCAAATGAGCCTGGAATCTTCATAATACCTAAACATGCCATATTTAGGATCCAATAATTCCCTCATGATGAGCAAGAAAAATTCTTTGCGTACCCCTCCTGCATCAACAGCATCTTCTCCAACAAATATAACCTAAAACAGGTTAATGCAAACACTGAATGTAAAGAAATGAACGTATATTCTGGAAACCCTACCACACGTTATTTATTATGAATAAAAGTGTGGCAATTAATAGCTAAAAAATTTTTAAGTATATAATTTTATTAAGATTCAAAGATACACTAAAAATGAACAGGAAAACTTTAAACATATTTTCTGAATAAAAGTTCCAATTGTACAACAGAAAATGTTAAATTACCTTGAGTGGCTTTTTGTAGTCTATATTCTTTGTTTTCCTAAGGACTTCCATTGCATCTCCTACTATATTTTCTCTACGTACCACTAGAATTAAGCAAGGATTCACAGATTCAATCACTGGGAGAAAAAGAGAGGAGACATTCTGTCTGTGGGCCTGGTCAATAGCCATCTAGAAAACAAAAGATTAAAAATTTAATAGCAATGCTATAAAGAAGCTGCTGTGACTGAATAAGCTAACCTCTACCTACTAATTATAGATATCCTATAATTCCTATACTACTGAATTCACACAGCACCTAACACGGTATTCAGCACAGCATCAGAGCTTAATAAACTGAGCATAAAGAGTATCCTTTTGAATTTTTTATAGTAATGTATAACTGATGATACCATTAAGCTAAGTAAGCATGGAACTGTAATAATTATGATAAATCTGAACACTGTTGTTTCTCAAAAAATAACTAGGATGGAGAGTGAGGAGAAAAAGAAAACAGCATTAAAACAAACCCTTAAAGAGAAAAAGAAACAGCTTGGCCAACTAAAAGGTTTATAGAAATTCATTTAGTAGCGTTATCACCATATATGCTCACAAACCAAGCATTTGGCTTTTACCATTTAAAGCTTTTATTTTTTTCCTATGATTTTCCTTGTGTTCTTAATTCTAAAATGGAATATCCTACATTGAAAGCACCAAGTGATTAACTTTCTTTCTCTCTCTTTTTTTTAATATTTATTCATTTATTTAGTTGCAGCACGCAGGATCTTTGTTGCCGCATGTGGGATCTAGCTCCCTGACCAGGGATCGAACACCGGCCCCCTGCATTGGGAGCACAGAGTCTTAACCACTGGACCACCAGGGAAGTCCTGATTAACTTAGCGTTTAACAAAGATTGCTAAAAAACTAGCAATCTAGCTGTTAGTATAGAATCCTACAAAAATATTTATTTCTTCTGTTGATGAAAATGGAAATAAGCACATCTCTAAAATTCCTCCTACTATTATTTACTGTTTAAATATATGGAAGAATTTAGAATAGTAAACGCATTTATTTTAAGGGAATAAAAATTGCCATCAAAATTGGGGGAGGGGTAATTTTAAAAAGCATTTTTAGAATATTAAGTGCTCAAGGTCTCATCTCATCCTTAGTCCTCAGCCTCTATAGTCTGATATTCTATACCAGAGGAAGAAACTCAAAAACTTTTAAATTTACAAGTTCAAATGATAAAGCAAACCTACTGTAGTCCTTCATGGTCATAATGTAAACTAGTTTTAAAATTTCTCATTATAAAGGAAAGAATGTTCAGCTTAAAGTGGGGGGGCGGAGGGGAAGGACAGTGGGGAGGAGGAAGAGGAGATGACCAACCTCAGGAAAGTACCTTATTTATTACTAAAATGTTCATACCCTCCTCCTAACAACCGATCAAATGCCTCCTACTTTTTAACATCACCTCACCTCTACTGATTTTCATCTTTTACCAAGTATATAAACAGGGAATATATAATAAAGCAAGATTTGAAACAAACCATTTTATCAAGTAAACTAGTCAAACTGTTTATAAAGACTGTATATTTCTATAATGAAAGAAGATTATACCATTTTTAAATATAAAATGATAAAAATCTAAATTATTCTATGTCCTTTTAAATATATATAAGTATCCCTCATAAGAATACACATTTCACATGCAACAGCCCTCTTCATAGGTACCAAAGGTACTTTGGTAAAAGTAGCTTTTTTTTTTTTTTTTTTGCGGTACGTGGGCCTCTCACTGTTGTGGCCTCTCCCATTGCGGAGCACAGGCTCCGGACGCACAAGGCTCAGCGGTCATGGCTCACGGGCCCAGCCGCTCTGCGGCATGTGGGATCTTCCCGGACCGGGGCACGAACCCGTGTCCCCTGCATCGGCAGGCGGACTCCCAACCACTGCACCACCAGGGAAGCCCGTAAAAGTAGCTTTGCAAAAGACAGACCACAAAGGTACAAAATATCCCCAAAGATATTTCAAATACTTTAAAAAAACACCAGAGAAACAATTCAAACACTACTCTCAAATTAAATTAGTACTATACAATATTTTACCTGCATCTGTAAGACTGCATCTGTTTGTAACAGAGTAGTTTTTGCTTGGGCATCAAATACAAATGGATATGTGCAGATTGTAACAGGGATATCTGCCAACTAGAAATAAAAAATTAGCTTATTAGTACAAATTGGTTTGTAACTTACTTCTTGTAGGTACTGTCATTTCTTGTGTAAAGTTGATCATATTCTTGGTTTATTCACTTTTGTGTCATTCAGGAATTATAAATAAAATGTGGCTTATTTCTTTTTTTAAATTTAATTTTATTTTTTATACAGCAGGTTCTTATTAGTTATCCATTTTATACATATTAGTGTATACATGTCAACCCAAATCTCCCACTTCATCACACCATCCCCCCCCCCCCACCACCACTTTCCCCCTTTGGTGTCCATACATAAAATGTGGCTTATTTCTGAATATAGAATTTTTACTGATAATTAGATGAGGCATTGGAATAACCCTAATTCCTAATTTTAGGAGATAACTGTATACTTGAGAATCCATAAAATTGTAAATTACAGGTATCTTTTGCTTAACATCTGAACTCCAAGTTTCAGTGAATTAGGCTGCAAATTTATTCTAAATGTGGGGCTCCTATGTTAAATACAGTTCCCAGTTCTTATATATTAGGGCTACTCTAGCAAGTGAGGCCAATGATAAGCAATCTACTTATTCATTCAACAGATATTTACTGCCAGGTCATTAGGGGGACAACACTATTATAAGCCCAACAATCTGTTCATTCATTTAACTTACAAAATAAGCACGATTAGTATTATTATTTTCTGTCAATCTTCAAAGTTGATCAATAATAGCTGATCTATTATTACCATTATCAGACATTAGTCACCTTATTGACAATTATGTATCCTAGCAGGTAAAACATAGTGATTGATTGCTAAGTTTTTAACAGGGCAGAAAAATACAAAGAGCTATGAATTGCCAGTCACAGATCTTGCAGTTGGAGGCTGTTATACTACCATATACCCAACAAAGCAAAATTTTTGTGCCAGCCTTGACACAGAGCCCCTTCTTATTATAAGGCTTCCAGTGAAGACTTAATACACCATGAAACAATCCTCTTCTTTTTAAGTTCTTAGAAAGTTCTTTATATTGAGTCTGAATCTGCATTTCTATACATCACTTCGCTTTCTATTTCAGTCTTCATTCTGCCCCTGCAGGGAAGTTTATATGGTTTAGATACTTCGTGCTGCCATGCTCTCCCTAGGTTGTCTTTTTCCCACACTAAACATGCCCAGTTTTTCCAACCATCCTGAAAATAATATGGTTTCCAGCTCTACTCCATCCCAACCGCCTTCTTTTATTTTATTTATTTATTTATTAGGCTGTGCCGGTTCTTAGTTGTGGCACATGGGATCTAGTTCCCTGACCAGGGATCGAACCTGGGCCCCCTGCATTGGAAGCATGGAGTCTTAACCACTGGACCACCACGGAAATCCCCAGTAACCTTCTTTTAAATGTATTTCAATTTGTCTAAGCCTCTTTCAACTATGGCCATCAAAAACAAAGAAATAATTCAATAGTGCCCAATCAGTATAGAACACAAGACTATCAACTTGTTGTTCTCAACATGAAAGACAATATGCTGAGTGACATTAACCCTTAAGTAACTTATCATTCTTGGCTATTTCTCATATGACAAGTTTACCCTCCACCCTGTATTTGTGTCACTAACTAGCTATGGATGATAGAAAGTCTTTTTACTACTCTGAAACTCTAAAAGACTGAGATGATTTCTAAAGTCCCCTTTGGCTCCAAAACTCTTTGATTTCATAATTTTATGTGCCACTTCTATTTGAGGATGAGGAAGCAAACAATGTCAGGCCCATAGTTTAAACCTACTTCTAAATGCTTCATTGGTTCAAGTGCTGTGAAAAAAGCAAAGCAAACAACAAAACCTGAAGTCTATAACAGAAGTATAATACAACATTCCCAGGTATTAAAAAGGTGGCTCAGGATTGTTGATTATGTAAGCCAAAGTGCCAGAACTTTATATATTAAGATAGTACATTAAACAAAGTGAGGGAGATGACCATACTGAAAGTTTATTCTATTTTATGGCCATTTTGAGTGTCAATTATTAGTTTAAAACTTGAAAATCATTCTACTTCTCTAACATAAAACATTTTCTGCCTTCTTGGTAGGCATTTGTGAAATTTTATAAGTTTGCTTTTTTGTATTCTGAGGACACCGTAAATTTTATACTGGAAGGCTTTAGGAGGATAGGAACTATTTTAAGACAAACATTGTTAAAAGGCATCATATATAGGTGTAATGCTAACTAAAACAGAGGGTCTAATTTTCTTCAGAAAATTCCTCTGAAATGTTATACAGGGCAAGTTCTATACACCCATTAAAATATATATGTATATATACATTATATGTTTTAAAGTCACAAAAAAGAGGAACTTTGGGGTCTTCAATCACTTAAGACAAAACAGAGTATATCTTACTCTGAACATGAGACTTTATTACACCAAACTTACCTCAGTTAATCCATGGTTGACATCCTAAGACAGCAGTGCAGAACGTAACAGTAATGAGGAAAGAGCATTGTTAGTGTCCAAATTTAACTATTTCTATTCAAAGCAGCATTTCATTTATTTTGCTATAGCAGAATACTGAATTAATGAAGTAGACCAAAATACATCTACAACAAAACTTACCCTTTCCACATATACCTGATATATCTATAAATGTAATAAGACCTTCGTTTCAGGTATCTTGTGATCATAAAATCATTGAGGCTTGAACATAATGAAATTTGGTTTCAGCAACTAAGTTACGCCATTTGCAGAATTTAGGCAGAACAGGGAAACTAATCCTAAGCCTAACTTGGTCTTGAAGAAATAATTTTATGGCCCAATCTCTCCACCTGGAAAATGGAGAAAATATCCCCCAGATTTTAAGACTTGGTTAATCTTGACAGAATATTTGAAAAGTGTTTAGTAGATTAAAATGCTATGTGGAAAGTGAGAAAATAAGCCATAATTGTTTTTATTCATCAGAAATAACCAGTGAAACACAAGTATCTTATATTAAGCGTTCTTTAACACTGAATTAGCTAAAACAGAAAGTACAAGACAGGGCATAGGGGTTGGTAAGTAGAAATGAAGAGATAAAGAGGTATTTATGAAGGATATAATAATGAAAATTATAATGAAAGCTTACCACTGCATTGAACAGAAATGCACAACACTTTCTTGAAGAAAGCTTTCATATATTCTCAGGGTATAGACTCAAATAAAGTACTAGAATCTCCAAAAGTATGTTACTAAATTTGCAGATGGCACCTCGTATAGTGAGGAATTAATCTTACCCAAAGAGAGGTCTGATTTTGCCCTCAGCTACTGGGAGATGATCCACAGGACTTTGGAACGTCATACCTGGACAGGAGTATCTTTGTTTGCCTGGAGGCTCTGGGACATGTGGTTATCAGTTCTGCCTCCAGAAGGTCTGGAAAGTAAAGGTCAGCCACATGGGCAGTATGTGATAGAACCTCAACAAAAACTCTGGGCACCAAGGCTCCAGTGAGCTTCCTTGGTTGGGAATACCCTGAGAGTATTGACACAGATGGATGCTGGGAAAATAACTTGTCCATGACTCCTCAGGGAGAGGAAAACAGAAGCTCAGCCTTTGGTACCTTTCTCAGACTCTACCCTTATGCACTTTTTCCCTTGGCATATTAATCTGTACTCTTTCCCTATAATAAACTATAGACGTCACTATAACAGTTTCCAGTTAGTTCTGTGAAGTCTTGTAGCAAATTACTGAACCTGAGAATGGTTCTAGGAATCCTCTAAGCTTGCAATTGGTATCAGAAGTGAAGGCAGTCTTGTGTGGACGATTCCCTCTAACTTTGTAATTGGCTAAATTCTTGCACGCCACAAGGGGTATCACTGGAAGTTTTAAGGTATTAGCAAACACTTAGGGTTTGTTCACTATACTGTGCTAAATAAAGCCAAAGCAGTGTAAGCATAAGTAAAATATGACTCTAACTTCCTGTTCTGAGAAAGGTAATTATTAATAGCTTCTTTCAAAAAATTCTGAGTACCAAGTTATCACTATATACGTGCCCCATTGGGCACGTTAACAGAAGAATATATTTACAAGCTGTTTGCAGAAAAACCCTTTTAGATTGCACTCAGTTTAATTTAAAGCAATTTAACAGGAACAACTGAAATACTTTTATAGTATATCTTGTGGGATGTTTTTTAAAGTGCTGTCACAGCTAAGAAGGTGTGAATAAGCAAAGAAACACCTTTCAGTATTTTCTGACTACCTATGGTCAGCTTGAAAACTATATTTGATACCTGGTATCATGGAAGATGGAGCTTATTCTTAATAATGAAACATTACTATATATGCACTTTTTTATTGCTACATGTAAAAGATAAAGGTTCTAGGCATATCCTTTAGCACTGGGAAGCCAATAAGATAGTCATAATTTATAGTGTAACTAAACCATATTAACACAGAACAAAAGTTTGATGGTAGAGACAGATGGGAGCTAGAAGGAATATGAAAAATAATGGGACATGTGGAAAACTTGGGAAAAGAGACTATTAGATATCAGGCAAAATGATTTACCTAGGGGAGAGCCATCAAAGGGAAAACCATATTAAGGTCATCATTAGAAATTTCAATTTAAGTGTTAAGGATCTAAGACAAAAGCTCAAACATTTAAAAAGAAAAATAGTAAATATGTAAAAAAGCAAGGATAAACTCCTCTGGGAAATATTAGAGTTGCAAGATAGTTGTTATATTAGCTGAAAGTCTAAATGAACCAAAGTAGTATTTCCAAGGAAAATTTAGAAGGAAAAAATGTGGTGGGGGGTGCGGACAGGATATTACAAAATACGTGAGGTCAATGAAAGGTCTATTGCTAAAAATTTACCACATCATTCAATGTGTGACCTACTAGTGGCTCCACATCCACATACTCAAGCACTAACTGTTGGCTGTTTGTAGACTGAGGGCCCTGAAATTAGGTCAAGGCATGCCTAATTTTAGTTACCCAATGTCCTAGAAACTTGAGTAAGAAAGGCCTAAAGGAATGTTCAAAAGTCAGGGTCTCATGGTCCAAATCAGACTTACACTAAGGCTGCTTTTAACATCAATGGTTAATGATAGTTCTAGTTAGTTACAGACAAAAAAGATGCAACTCCTTGGCATGTTTTAGTTTCAACAAATTACTTATGGCAAAACACTGTATCATTGCTGGTGTCATCATTATTTAAGGTATAACATAGGATTATTCTGAGGAGGTATAAACAGAGGATACCGAAGTTACTGAAGTAATTCAAATAAATATGAAAGGTGTTGGTGACTAGGTAGAAAAAAAAAAGATACTTCTAAAACACGAAGAAAATGAAAAATAAACCAATATAACTTGGTAATTCAAGGCATAAGGAATCAGTCCAAGAGTCTGCAAAACATTAATGCCATTAAAAATGACAAGGGAACTTTAAAAAGCTAGTATGAACCTTCTGGGAAATATTATAGCTGCAAGGTTTATACTGCAAGTATTAAATGTATTGCAATACTAAAGAACACAAATGTATTTTAATTTCTTCATTTCATTAAATGAGGAAGAATTAAGTACTGGCCTATCTTCCCAAAGCTGGTCTCCCTAGCTGTTATGTCAGTCTATCTTCCTAGTTTGCTGATGAGCATGTCATGTTGTTAGCTCAGCACTGTCCGCAGTTAAAGTACAAAATCTTAATGCCACAGAAGAAATACAGTAATGATTTACAAACACAGCACAATTAATACTGAAGTAACATTTATGACTTAAAAAATATATAAAGTGTAATATCAAAGACTGTAAAAATGTCACCAATTTATCAAATGTATTTATTAGTACTTACTTGTATCTGACATGTCTTACATAGGCATACACAGTTCTTGAAATAAGAGAATATGCACTTTAAAAAATGCTTAACTTGATTTGTAATTATAAGAGGCACAGACTCAGCATAGACCTTTCTACATTTTATTCTAAATTAATCAATTTTTACTAGATATATATTGATACATAGGTACAGTAACGAAAAGTATAAGCAAGGGAAGAAAAAAGAGCAAAGAGTTTAGTTGTAACCACTAAAGTTTTTTTGTTTCTTTTGTTTGTGTTTGGCCACACCGTGCAGCTTGTGGGATCCTAGTTACCCAACCAGGGATCAAACCTGGCCCTTGGCAGTGAAGGCATGGAGCCCTAACTATTGGACTGCTAGGGAATTCCCCACTAAAGTATTTTTATAAACAATTTTAGAGCAAAGTTAAAAGAGGTAAGCAAATAAACGGAGACTAATACCTAGAAAGTGGAGAAAAACATCAAATAGCAGAAGATAAAAAGAGAGAGAACTCATGTGCTCTTTTATTTTGCCAAGAAATTATTGTAGAGGGAGAAAAACAGATAAAAAGCAAAAGGAATCCAACTGAAAAAATGTCATACCCTAATATCAGAGTCTGGAAAAACAATCAAAACAGAGAAGCTTATACAGTAACCAGCAGGAGTAGGAGGATCAAGCAAAAACTTCATGGAAACATGAAAAGGGAAACAGGTGAAACAGGATGGGAAAATGGAAGAGGATGAGGTGAAAAGTTAGTCTCAGCTGTACAAGAGGATATTACAAGGAATGCACAGAATTTCACAGAATTAGTTTTTAATGTTTAGAGACCAGGAAAGTATATACCTGATGGGTTCTCTTTTTTATTTTGTTTTTTTCCTTCTAGTTCTACTGAGATACAAATGACATACAGCACTGTGTTAGTTTAAGGTGTATATTCCTGATGGATTCTTAAAATCCTCGACTGGGAAAGAAAGGAAATGGAGAAAGAAATCTCAACAGGCTATGGCATAAAGAGAAATATAATAAAGGTAATATATAATAAAGGTAAAATAATTTTCTTGCAGTGTTTAGAACAAGGTAAAGTTTTACATATATATGTGTATATATATATAAAATATATGTGTATATATATAAATACAATTTATAGACATATTTCTTATAATTCATAGTAATTATCTTCTATCAAGGAATATTTTAAACTTTCACATGAAGGAATGGAATTATTTCAAGATCATAACTCCTGTTCAATAATGGTATACATATGTACATTGTATACATAGATATAAGTACATATATGTGTGTATATATGTCTATGTGCACATAAATACACATATACACATTTATATCATCACAAAACAGCATATGAGTATCTTTAGGATAGACACTTTAAAACTTTACTAACTTTACTTACAGGGCCAACATGATGTTCAACCTAGTATTAAGACTAGTAATGCAAGCATGAACTTTATTAAACAGCTTCAGGAAAAGTCTTTAGTGTTATGTGTAAATGTGAAAGTGATCTGAACTCTCTCAAAGAAAGAAGCACCTTCAGATGTCATAATATAAATTAATAAACTACTTAAGAGTTAGTCAAAGACCTTCAAAGTAAATTGTCAGCTTTCTATTTCCGGAAGACTAGAAGAACCCAAATCACGCGTTCTAGATTCTCATTTCTAAGATGTGACATTAAGTCCACTATGCACATTAAAGAACAAGTTTCCACTGCCACAACCACCTATTCAATACCAGTCTGTCTATAAATGGAGAGAAAGGAAAAGCATGTGGTTGAAAGAGTAGAGTAATAGAGGGCAATTTTCAAGTACATCGACTTAGAGAGTCTAGAAATAAGAATGTGGTCCTCTACTGTCTCCCTCTTACCAGAAAACAGTAGCACTGAAAGAATTCCTAAGGAAATTCAATTTGATATCATCACAGATGCATACCAAGAGGAGTTTGGATACAAGTCTGCCAAGCTTAAAAGCAAACATTCAAACCATAGCTTTTCCATGTAGCACAAGATTACAGCTAGCTTAAAAATCCTATTAGACTGGCATTTCTCTTAACTTGTTCAGAATACAAGTAGTTTATGACCTACATACCAGATAAAAATTCGGATGTCAAAGAACATCAGATCTAATTCACAGTGATCCAAGAGGATATAACTCTCCAGGAGAGAGTGAAATGCTTAGTGAAATAAGTCAGACAGAAGGACAAACACTATATGATATCACTTACATGTGGAATCTAAAAAATAATACAAATGAATCGATATACAAAACAGAAGAGACTCACAGAAACAGAAAACAAACTTACGGTTATCAAAGGGGAGGAGGGAGGAGGGACAAATTAGGAGTAGGGGACTACAGCTACGAACTACTATACATTAAAATAGATAAGCAACAAGGATTTACTGTATAGCACAAGGAATTATATTCAATAAAAAAACTAAAAAGAAAACGTTGAGGTGGGATATAAAGCTAGGTGCTCTTATGTCACACTCCTTCCTTATCATATTTACGTTGTGAGTTGAGATTCCTGATCAAGAGAACATAATCATCTTCCATATCAAATATTAACTTGATTATTAAATTTGTAGAGTTATAATTAATTTACCAATTTGTTATGCCTTAAGCATTCTTTTAAAAGCTATGTACCAGGAGTTTAGAACTAGTTTAGTGTTTGTATATATTTAAATAAGATAATCGTAAATAAGGTAAGTGAGCTCCAGACGCGCAGGCTTAGCGGCCATGGCTCACGGGCCCAGCCGCTCCGCGGCATGTGGGATCCTCCCGGACCGGGGCACGAACCCGTGTCCCCTGCATCGGCAGGCGGACTCTCAACCACTGCACCACCAGGAAAGCCCAACACTAAGCTTCTTAAAGGAATTATTTTATTTTAAAAGGAGTCTATATAATCACTCCAGTCTCAAAAACACTGCTCAAAGACCTAGGGCATCTAGGTGGTGTATCAGGGTTTACATGCAAGTTTTTCGATAAAAAAAGTTCATTTTCTGAATCATCAGTTTTCCTCAATGGTAAATAATTTTAATCCCTTTTATATTGCAGTAAATATTTATTTATTTTTGAATTTTATTTATTTTTTTATACAGCAGGTTCTTATTAGTTATCCATTTTATACATATTAGAGTATATATGTCAATCCCAATCTCCTAATTCATCATACCACCACCCCACTGCAGTAAATATTTATGAAGCCCCAAATTTGCATTCTCTTGAAGATAAAATATGAGACTTCACACAAGTCCTGCAGAGGGAAAATTAATAACCTCAAGAAATATGTTTTTTCTCCTGTCTTAGGGGTTCACTGGAGGAAGAGTTTGAAAAGCTTTATCTAGGTGAGAGCTTTAGTTTAAATAGGTAAGGAAAAAGGAAATATTTATTCAAAGCTTTCCAGAGGTCAAGTATTTTCTTTCTTAAAAAACTGTTGTCCCTTGACACTAGCTAACCACCCTACTTTTTTACTCCCTTCTCTTCAGTGCAGAACTTCTTGAGAGTACTGCCTATGGCTTTTGTTCCCTATCCTCACCCCTAAATTTCTCTTAAGCATACTTACTCTAGACGCATTATCAAGGTTACCAATGACCTTCACGTAACCAAATGCATTGATCAATTCTATGGTTTTATCCTATTTCTCAGCAGCGTTCAATATGGTTTCTCCTTCACTTTTCAATTTTGGTTCCCACAACTCTCTCCTAGTTTTCCTCCTACCTCTCTTAACCTCCTTTGTTGATTTCTCTCCTTTCCTCATCTCATATCCATCAGCAATTCTTGGCCGTCTTACCTCCAAGAGGTACCCAAGTCCATTTTCATCTTCCATCTATACAACTACCAATCCTAGTCAAACCCATCATTTTCTCTCCCCTTATCTACTCCATTCCCCTCACTCCATCTTCCACAAAGCTGACAGAGTGGTTATTTCAGAATATAAATTACACTGTACAGTATTCATCCCCTGCTTACCACCCTCCAATGGCTTAACATAACACTTCAGATAAAATCCATGTCCCCGATCCTAATTTACTAAACCTTGCATGATCTGGCACCTGCCCATTTCTCTGATCCTTTCCCAGAACTCTCCCCATTCCCATATTTTAGCCATACTGGCCTTTTTCTATTCTTCAAACATGTCAAGCTTGCTCTCACCTAAGGTCTTTTAGTAGATGTAATTTTTCCTGAAATTTTCTTTGCTCTGATCTTACATGGCTGCTTTTTGTCATTTAGATTACAGATCATACTTCATTAGACAAGACTTTTCTGATTACCCAATCACAAGAAACCATCCTGTCTTTATTACCTTCTCTTATTTTAATTCTCTATATAGTGCATATTATAAGCTTTTTTTTTTTTTTGCTTTACTTGATTACTATCCATCTTGCCCACTAGATTATAAGTTTCATGAGAAAAGGGCCTTATCCATCTGGTTAATCACTGTATTTCTTATACCTAAATAAATGCCTGTTACAAAGGAGAGTCTTAATAAGTATTTGTTGAATATGCAAATGAGCAGACATAAATCTGTAGGATGTTTGTAAACTTGACTGAGTCTCCTAGTGATTCTGCAGGAAAAAATAAAATCAACAAATCTCTCCCAATCCAGATCCAAGTATCTAGGGAAGCAAACATGTACTAGAAGTGACCTGATTCCTATAGGTAAGAGCATCCTAAAACAGCATGCACTAACTGCACTGCCATTCAAAAACTACTGTACTTTCTAAGTGCCTACTAGACATATTTGAGATACTGTAAGAAGTACTGGTGAATAAACTGACAGAGTGCCTATCCACAAGGAGCTTGCAGTTGGTACCTAGCAAGCAATGAAAGGCTATTCACCTTCCTAGAACTGTTACATGCATGTTGCTTAAATTACCTGCTTCAGGGGTGGAAAAGTTGGCCTTAAGTATATTATAATGGTTAGCAAATAAGAGTCTAAACCTGTTTTATATCTAGCTGCTTACCAATTTCTATACTGAAATTTTGTGTGACTAAAGTTTTATAAGACTATGATATTAGTTTTATTTTTATTTTATTTTTACTTTTTTGGCCATGTGGCACGTGGGATCTTAGTTCCCTGACCAGGGATCGAACCCTCACCCCCTGCGGTGGAAGCACAGAGTCTTAACCACTGGATGGCCAGGGAAGTCCCTATGCTATTATTTTAATTAAGTATCTAGTTATTAGAGACTTAGCCACATGGAAAGAAATATGTGGCACTTGTGGAGGTATGCCAAAAAACTGAAATCAAATTAAGCACATAAAAGGGGAAAAATAAAAACTAGAATCACTTCTGGTAGTTCTGAGGCACCGATCTCACAATTTTAATACGTTCTTAGAGTTCAAGTATCAGAGACTCCAGTATCCTCAACATTAGAGAATTAAGAGACAACCTCATGCAAAATAAATGAGACTTAGAAAAATAAGTCATATTTGCATTTTTCTGTAGAAAAGTGTAATCTAGTCCTTTGGTTTGGCTTTGGTATAAGAGCAGAATGCTTACTTATAAATACTGTATAATATATAACTGCTCCTTTGCAATATGTTTTTATTTAAAAAATGAGCTCTGAATAAAAGCTCTGAAAAAGCTTTGTTGTTTCAAAAATACACAATTGTTCCTTTTGTATTAGAACAAATGATACATAAAAACGAAACCATAAAATGCAACAGGAAACATACCATTCCATAGGCCTGCTGTTGGACCCAGTTGATATAATCATTCCGTATGTCTATCAATTCTTGTACTTCATGTATATAAAATTTATCATATTGTATAATCTGTCCAGTTTTCTCATTTACCTACAAAAAACAAAAATGTAATTAACATTAAGTTTAACCAGTACCTAAGAAAGAGACTGAAAAATGTTTAAATAGAATTGAGACTTCTTAGATATTTTCTCTTCCTATAAAAGAATAATTTACTGAGTGCCTACCATATGCAAAATGCTAGTTAAGTGCTACGGGAAACACCAAGATTTATAAGATGTGATATCTGTATTTAGTATCTCAAAATCCATTAAAAAATATTTATGTAACCACCACACAATAGGAGATATGTACCATAAGTATATATAGTATACAAAGACTAGAAACTATAAAGTCTTCTGGTTGGGAATGGGACTTAAATAATAGTAAGAATAGCTAATGCTTGTTAACCATCACTCAATAGTGGCATCTGATTATAATAAACTAAGAGGATGACATTTGGGTAGGATGTGAAAAATGAAGACAGTGCAAATCACCATACTAGAAAATTACTTCCTAATTACAAAAAGAAAAACAAGTCTTAACAGTGGAGACCACCACCTTAACTGAGTGATCAAACTAACCACCACCCATACTGGGACAATCAAATATTATGTTCCTGCTGGGACTTCCCTGGCAGTCCAGTGGTTAAGACTCCACGCTTCCACTGCAGGGGGCGCAGGTTCAATCCCTGGTCAGGGAATTAAGATCCCACGTGCCTCGAAGCACGGCCAAAAAAAAAAAAAATTTTTCCTGCTGATATAATGCAACAGGAAGTACAGACATTATCTGTGAACCAAGAAAATGTCTAACCTGAATCTAATCAAGTCCTTGATTCAAATTCCAGTTTATAGGAAACACAGGAAAAGAGGAACAAGTTAAACATCATTATAAGGAAACAGACAATTATCCTAATTGTAGGAACTTTACAAGAAGACTGGCCAGGACTCTCCAAAAAGTCAAGGTAATGAGATCGAAAGGTGGGGGTTATTCCAAATTAAAAGAAACTAGAAGAGTTCTAGTGCTGGATATGGCAGAGTACTTTTTATCAGACTAATCCTCCTGACAATAACAGTTATAATCTCTGGACAGTATATTAAAAAAACAACTATTTAAAAACACTGGAGATCAACCCAAAGCAGGCAGAAACAAGAATGAACACAATCTCTGAAAGAAGGAAAGCACATGTTGAGAACCACATTTTTTTTTTAACATGGGAGTACTTCCAAAGCAGCATAAGGGGTAGGGGATGTAGCACATGCAGAAAGCAACAGTTTTATCAGACAGAGAAGTGTGAGATTGAAGCTGCCAACATGGCAGACAATGAGGAAGAAAAATCCCAGAAAGGAATCCTGAGGACAAAGTCCCAAAATCTGCATGTAAATCCCCCCCACCTCTTTGGCTAACTCTTAAACCATGAAAGCACAAGTGAGATTTGGGGTGGGGGGACAGGGACGGACAACACCCCAACAGAAAGCAGCAACTGGGAGGCTACTCTTAAGAGTACATTTCAAGACAAGCATCTCCAGAAGGGAAAAAAGGTACATTTCATAATGATAAAAGAATTAATTTATCAAGAAGTCATGACAATCCCAAATAATAGCGCTTCAAAATACAAGGGAAAATTGACAGAACCACCATCATCGTTAGAAGTTTTAACACCCCTCTCTTGGTAACTGATTTACAAAAAAAAAAAAAGAAGGGCAAAATCAGTAAGTAAGGAAGATTTGAACATCAGTTTCAACCAACTTGAACTCGTTGCCAGAAGAGAGGGAGGTGGGGGCAGGAGAGAAACAGGTGAAGGAGATAAAGAGGTACAAACTTTCAGTTATGAAATAAATGAGTCACAGGTATGAAAGTGTACAGTGTGGGAAATATAGTCAATAATTATGCAATATCTTTGTATGGTGACAGATGACAACTAGACTTACCATGGCAATCATTTTGAAATGTATAGAAATATCAAATTATGTTTTGCACCAGGAACTAATATAGTGTTATAGGTCAACTGTACTTCAAAAACAAACTCATAGAAAAGGAGATCAGATTTATGGTTATCGGAGGTGGGGGTGGGGGGAGGGGGAAGTGGATGAAGGGGGTCAAAAGGTACCAACTTCCAGTTATAAGATAAATAAATACTAGGGATGTAACGTAAAACAACATAAATATAGTTAACACTTCTGTATGTTATATGTATGAAAGATGTTAAGAGGGTAAATCCTAAGAGTTCTCATCACAAGGAAACAAATTTTTTTCTATGTCTTTAATGTTGTATCTGTATGAGATAATGGATGTTGAGTAAACTTATTGTGGTAATCATTTCATAATGTATGTAAGTCAAATCATTGCTGTACACCTTAAACTTATACAGAGCTATATGTCAGTTATATCCCAATAAAATGGAAAGAAAAAATAGAACATTCTACCCAGTAATTGTACATGGGATGTTCACTAACATATATTATAACCCGGACCATATAACAAGCCTTAATAAATATCATTAAAAAAATCCAACATATACAAAGTATGTTCTTTGACCACAACAGAAATAAACTAAAAGTCAATAACAAAAATATATTTGGAAAATCCTAGAAAACTGGCAATTAAAACATTTCTAAATTACCCCAAACTTTCCTTGTATCCATCAGAGAGCTAAAGTCACAAGATAACAAAGTAACCTGAAGTCCAAGGATGGACAGATACTTCCAAAGAAATGGGTCACCATGGCAGAGCAAGAGGAAGTTTAGCACTGTTATACAAGCAGCGAAGAAGAAATCAGCTAAAATTCTAAGAAATTGCTTAAGGCTGAGTATGGGATAACTTGAGAGGATAAAACCCCCGGAGCCTCAGACAGTTTGCACTCACTCATAGACTCTTGCCACAGACCTCTACTGGGTGCCCAGGAGGATGAGTGGAAACAGGGCAGGAGATCGAGAGACTCTCTCAGTGGTGCAAGGCATTGGCTGCCTCTGTGAGAAAGAAACAAGGCCTGCCACCCTGTCCAGATCCTTCTCTCACACAGAGAAAGCAAAAACTTTAAGCCACTGAGGAAGGGGAAGCAAATTCTATGCCATGTTGCTGGAAGAGGGGAAAAATCCTCAATCCCTGGGAAGAAGGGGGACAAGAACTGTCCTGAGCCCAGAATCTTGTATCAGTAGCGCTAGAGGCTCTCTACTGCTGGCGGTGGGAGCAGAAACTCTGAGAAAATCCCATCCCCGAGACCCTGGTACACACCCAGCTATCTACCTAAGACCAACACTATACCACAATAACAAAGAACTTTTTCTGTCCCTTCTCCTCTACCAATCTTGAAAGCACTAAGTAATAAGCAACACCAGCTCACCACTGAGGAGGGGCAAAAGTGGGGAGAGAAATCCCTCTTTGGAGCAGGCATGCAGAGTGAAGCACAAACACTGAGAAGAAATCTTTGACATTTCACCTTCACCTTAAGCATCAGACAATATTAGAGGAATCTGAGGTCTCCAGTGCAATGAAGTTAACTACAGCAAACTAAAAACTCAATTCCAGTTCAACTGCAGATTAGATTGGCTTAAATCCCTACACTAACAACCACATAAGAGGTATACACATACAGGATTTAAATCTAATTACTTCAGCGTTTACTATTTTACAGACAACCAAAAATTGTGACACATATCAAAAAGCAAATAAGTAAATAAAACAAAGACCACATAAAAAAGTCTAGAGACAAAGTAATCAACAGAGCCAGACTCAGAGATGACTTAATGAAAATAAAAACACATCAAAATTTGTGGAATTCTGGTAAAGCAGAGCATAGAAGGAAATTTATAGCATTAAATGATGTTAGAATAAATGGTCTAAAATCAATGATCTAATAAGCCTCGGCTCAGGAATTCCCTGGTGGTCTAGTGGTTAGGACTCAGCACTTTCACTGCCATGGCCTGGGGTTCAATCCCACACACTGTATGGCACAGCACCCCCCTCCCCCCCAAAAAAAGCCTCAGCTTTAAGAGCCTGGAAAATGATGATCAAATTAAGGACAAATCAAGTAGAGGAAAGGAAAGATATGAAACAGAAAACATAAATTACACTCTATTTATTTTTTAAATTTAATATTAAATTTTTAAATTTCCCAAAAGAAAATTCCAGGCCAAGATAGCTTCACTGGTGAATTCTATCAAACATTTAAGGAAGAAATAATACCAATCTTTTTTTTTCCCAAGAGGTGACATATCTAAGTGGTTTTGTTTGTTTTAAACTATATATTTATTTATTTTTGGCTGCATTGGGTTTTTGTTGCTGCGCGTGGGCTTTTCTCTAGTTGCGGCGAGTGGGGGCTACTCTTCGTTGCAGTGCATGGGCTTCTTACTGCAGTGGCTTCTCCTGCTGAAGAGCACGGGCTCTAGGTGCACAGGCTTCAGTTAGTTGTGGCACATGGGCTCAGTAGTTGTGGCTCGCAGGCTCTAAAGCGCAGGTTCAGTGGTTGTGGCGCACGGGCCCAGCTGCTCCACGGGCATGTGGGATCTTCCCGGACCAGGAATTGAACCCGTGTCGCCTACACTGGCAGAAGGATTCTTAACCACTGTGCCACCAAGGAAGTCCCAATAATACCAATCTTAAACAAACTCAGAAAACAGAGAAAGATAGATCATTTCTTAATTCACTTTATGAATTAGGATAACCCTGATACTAAAAAGCTGATGAGAAACAAAACTGACTAGGTCAACATTGCTCATGAACACAGACATAAGACCCTCAACAAAATACGAGCAAATTAAATCCAGCAATATACATAAAATAATACAAAATGTCCAAGTGGAGTTTATCCCAGGAATGCAAGACTGGTTTAACATTCAAATATAAATGAATTTCACTAAATTTCAGAAAAAAAGCAAAATAAATAATTGTTCATCTTAATAGATGCAGAAAAAAGTATCTAACAAAATTCAACATTCCTTCATAATAAACACACTCAGCAAACCTGGAATAGAAGGGAACTTCTTCAAACAGATAAAGCCCACCTTAAAAGAAAACAAAACAAAAACACAACTCTACAGCTAACATCATATTTA